TGAAACCCACTTTCATCTCTTCTGTACATTGCCCTTGATGAAAAACAGCTGCAGACCTGGATTATTCTGCAAGGACAGAAGTACATTATTTGAGGGTTTGCCGATACCAGCACATCTTAATGTAATCACATCAGGGTTTATAAATATGTCTAGGCAGAATGGAGGGAAAGCCATCACTCTCACACCTCAGGGCTATAGAGGTCCCCTGAGGGAGATCCACTTCTGCCTGTCACCCGAAGCAAAGGTGCAGGTGATTTCCTGGAGGCCATAGCATCAGAGCAGTAAACTCTGCTGAGAAATACCCACAGACCAGACCCCCTTCTTCCCTCCTTTCTGAGCCCTGACTCCATCAAAACATTCTGTCTATCTTGGTGGGCCCTCTTAAATATTTTATTTCAATCACCCTGGAAACATTTTTTTAAAAAGCCGTGCAACATAAGAGCCAGGCTTATTCACGACTGTAGGGTCATCAGCCCTCCCTGGCTGCCGGGGCAAGAGTAAATGGCCCGACCCCTTCATCACACACCTGCCACATTCCATGTGAACACGTCAAACCCTCAAGCCCGCTCGATTAATCACCCTGCCTGAGGATTTATGAAACCAAGTTCACATTACCCAGAGAGCTGTGCGCGGGGCCCTCTGAGGTCAGGATGCAAGACCAAATAAAATTAACGTGCCTGCCACATCCATCATCTTGTAATCTGCTTCCAGTTCTATAATCCCTGAGCGTCCGGACTGTGCATACCAAGAACATTCCTCTTCAACGAGGATCAAAATGGTTCATGTACAAAGGGCTCTGACCATCTTCCCCACCCCCAAGAAAATCATTAACCATTTCTGCAAGTCAAAGAGCCCTGGGAGTGCAGACATCAGCTCAGAGCAAGTGGCTGGGACCGAGATGTTTTTCACGATTCTATCATAAATGTTTCTTCAAACACCATAAACATAAAATCTGATTTGACCTAAGAATTTAGAATACACTGTTAATTTTCCAGCAATGCATTAACTGGTTGAGATCATATAAAGGAAAAAGATCCTACAACTATCATTGTACTAAACTGTTTCCCAATTATTCAAGGGAACAAATGTTACCCCACCCAAAAAACAATGAATCAGCTGGATTAGAAGAATTTAAAATTATAAAGTAGTATGCTGTATTTTATGTCACCATGGGATTACTTTTCATTTTGATTTCTGAACATGTTATTAAGTATCTCAAGGGAAGTATCACTGCTCATCTCATCAGGAGAAAAGGCAATTCAGAGACACTGTGTGAGGGCCTTGAGGCCACACAGCTCAGGACTGGGCTGGGCTGAGAGAAATCCACATCACATTCTTCTTTTCTTCTCACAGTTGATACGATTTTTCGATATTTTATACCATTAACCTCTAATTCTCTAAAATTTATTGCCATAAAGTTTTCACCACATGATTATTTTATGTTATACGTATTCTAATTCTCTCAAGTACTTTGCCACAAAGATTCACATCATAGATCATGTGAATATTATTACTGGATCTGTTCATTTCCAAGCAACATTCCTAGACTCTTGATGGAATAAGAAGTTGGACAACCAGGGTATTTTATGTTCTGATCATTTACAGCCCTAACATCTGGGGAGAAAAGTTTTTAGTTATAAAGTGGAGTGGCATAACTGATTTCAGAGTAAGGATTTAAAAAGCATATTAACAGTGTTGTCACCTTTTAAAAATTCAGATATTGGCCAGATGCAGTGACTCATACCTATAATCCCTGCACTCTGGGAGGCTGAGGTCAGAAGATAGCTTGAGCTCAGGAGTTCAAGACCAACCCGAGCAACATAGCGAGATCCCCATGTCTACATAAAGTTAAAAAAAATTAGCTGGGTGTGGTGGTGAGCACCTCAGCCCCAGCTACTCAGGTGGCTGAGGCAGAAGCATTGTTTAAGCCCAGGAGTTTGAAGTTGCTGTGAGCCATAACGATGCCACTGCACTGTACTTGGGGTGACAGAGTGAGACTCTTGTCTCAAAAAAAAAAAATCAGGTATTAGGCTTAGTTCTATGGGCTAACAGTGTCCACACTGATTGTTCAAGATTAAAACCAAAATATACATTAATCTTAGCAATATTAGAAGTGGCTCTTACATAAAAACAAAGAAAAAATTACTGTGGTCTGCAGGCCAGAAGGATTTTGGTATAGACTGAATGTAACTCCTCCAAATTCATATGTTGAAGTCAAATCCCCATGTCATGGTATTAGAAGAGGCCTTTGGGAGGTGATTAGGTCACGAGGCGTAGAGTCCTCACAAATGGGATTAGTGCTCTTATAAAGGAGGCTCCTGAGAGCAACCTTGTCCCCTCCTTCTGCCACACGAGGTTGCAAAGAAAAGACAGCCATCTATGAATCAGGAAGTGGGCCCTCACCAGACACTGAATCTGCTGGTATCTTGATCATGAACCTCCCACTCTCCAAATCTATGCCAAATACATTTCTGTTGTTTATAAGCCACCCAGTTTATGGTATTTTGTTATAGCAGCCCAAGCAGACTAAGACAGATTTGAAGTGGCAAGACTGTGGTTCCTCAAGCAATAGCTAAATGAGTACTGTGTGCCACAAAAGAAATCTGCATGTATTATTTCATTTAATTCTTACACAGCCCACTGAGGTTTTCTAACCCCATTACTGATGATGAAGCTGGGAACCAATGAAGTGGAAATAACACCCACAGTTATGTGACAAAGCTGAGATCTGAAGCCATGTGCGTCTTGTTCCAACCATCCCAAAATATACCACTGATATTCAGAAATCTGAAAAATTTCAGCATGCCTATCCCTCCTTAAAAATTAACCTCCCATGTTCACTCTTGTAACATGAACGTATGAAACTATCTCAAAACAAAGAGTACAAAACATTAACCTATTATTACTCACTGCCTCAAGTAGGAAAAGAGAAACCGGAGCAAACAGGAAATGGGCTTCACTAAGGGGAAGGAGTAGATGAAGATGGGTTAGAGTGAAGGCAGGGAGGCCTCCTGCCCTGCTGTGATATGTTTAGGGGTAATGCAGAGGGGACAGGACTGTTTGTTAAGGGCCCAGAAGTCAATATGAACAGCGTTTTGTTCTTTCATTCAGTAAGCAAATGCTGATTCCGTATCTCCTCTGTGCCAGCTGCTGGGGTGGGTACTGGCAACACAAGAAAAACTAAGGTAAGTGGCCTGCCTTCCAGAACTCAGACTGGAGAGGGAGACAGATTCAAACAAACAATACAATATGCTGAGAGCTGCACTGCAGGAATCTAGACATTGCTGTTCAAGCACTGGGGACTGACTCCCTGGGAGGATTAGGGGACACATGCTGGGGTCTCAAAGGACAAGGAGGAGTCTTTCTAGCAGTGAACAGAGGAAAGGCCATATAGGCAGAGCATATTTGGCCAAAGGCATGGAGGCTGGAGATTAGAGAGATCATGAGGTGTCCTGGAAATGGAAGATAGCTCTCTATAGCAGCAGCATGGGGTGCACAGTGGTAGTGGCAATGGCAACAGTGAGATGGTGTTGGGTGAAGTGGGCAAGGACCAGACTTCTGGGTCTGCCAAGAAGTGTGGTCTGCATTCTGTATGTTGCGTGGAGCCAAAGGCTTTTAGCAGGGCAATGACAAGGTCTGTGATAAGATCACTTGGCCTTGTGGAAGATAGATTGGAGAAAGCCAGACAGGTGGCAGACAGGCCAGCTGTTACGAACTCTACTTGGAAGGACCTTTGCAGCTCAAAAGTCCTTTATCTAGTCTAGCTCTCTATTTCACAAGTATAAAGTGAGGTCTGAAGGTTAAAAGACTTGCACAGAGCTACCCAGCTGGTGAGTGACAGAGCTGGAACCACAACGGGGATGTCCTGTTGGCTGCTGCAAGATCATTTCCATCTGCCTAGGCTGCCAAAGAAAATGAAGAGGTCTAAAGCCTGTACTCCCTACTAGTGGCTTCTAGTTTATGAGCTTGAAGACACCACCACAAAGGCTAGAAAACAACAGTAGGTAAAAGAACAAAGCACTATTCTTACAATGGTTTGGGATTCCTGACGCCTTATGAACCAGATAACTAGTAAAAGCGACACAGCTTATAGAATAAAACAAATAAAAACACAGACAAGGGGAGCGAGGGAAAGTACACAGCTGCTTTCTTAATTAACCAAAGTCATCAAATCCTGACCCTACACACACCTTGAAATTTAGAGATTCTTTCCTGAGAGCAGATGGTCACGACTTTAGCTATGTTTTCTAAAAAGAAATCCATCCACAGAACTACTATCCACAGGGTTGTCCAGAGATGTCCATCCCAAGGTAACCTGAGATGATTACCAAAGTCATGTTTCAGTGAGATTCTAACCCTAATAGCCTCCTCCTGGAATGTGAGGACAGGGAAGAGAGATTTTTGAGTGAAGCAAAGCCACCCATAGCCCTCTCATTATTTCATTCCAAAGAGGAGGATCTACATAGAGAATTTATTTTCAGGACAGAAACAGATTTTCTGACACCTGCACCTTTCCCAAAGGGCCCTTCAGACTTCATCTGAGCATGAAGGAGCAGTATATGTCAGCGGAGATCTCAGAGCTGCCGTGTCTGCGAAGGCTCCCTTCACAGTGGGATTCAGCCCAAGCCCCTGTTTGAGTTAAAGTGAGTAGCAGGCCAAGGAAGAAGGTACCTGTGCTCTTCAAAACTGCATTTCACATTGTACATAACAAACTATAAAAAAAAAACAAAAAAAAAAACGAAAAACCAGAGCACACCGTGTCTTCAATTGGACACAGATGGGAGAAAATCAGCCTCAATAATAAATTCACGGAGGTGGAGTGTGTCGTCACACACGGAGCCCGGATGTGTGATCCAGAAGGTGTGTGGGGGAGAGTTAATACCATATGTCGTTTGACTGCGGTGGGCCTGCTCCCATGTCAGTAGCAGCGTGTTCCTCCAGAACAGCTCTGACGCCAATCCCGATGCCACCGCACCCTGCCAAGCCCCGATGACTCTTACCAGGTACTGAAGTCGCTGGCGCTCTGTCTCGGGGGTGAATTCCGAAGACATGGGGATGATTTCTCCATTTCTGATGATTATGGCCCTGAAATGGGGAAAATGCATTGTCAGCAGCCAATCTCATAAATACTCTGATTCTGTGACAACCATAGCTTGGTTCAAACCACACATGAAATGCCAGAAGATGCTGTCTTCTCTCACCTGCATGGCAGAATTCACTGTTCCCAACTCCCCACATGGGAGACATCTCTACACTAAGTGCATTGCATTCTAGTTAGCTTCTGTTTACTTTTTCTGCTAGCTGGAACCATGCCTTGATGCTCCAGCACCAAGCACACTACTTGGCATGTAGTAACCGCTCAGTGAATAAATGGATGGATGAAGGAATGATATAACAGAGGCTCACTCTAGTCCTGGGTTATCCAATAGAACCTTCTGTGATCATGGCGATGTTTCCATCTGTGCAGTCCAATAGGGCAGCCACTAGCCACGGGTGGGTACTGAGCATTTAACTTGTGCTCAGTGCAGCTGAGGAACTAAATTTTTAATTTAATTTTAAAATTTAAAGTTGAAGCAGTCACATGTGGCTAGTATTCATTGTATTAGTGCAACACCAGATCACTGTCACTCAAACAATCTGTGAGCCCACAGCATTGGACTTACCTGGGAGCTTGTGAGAACTACACAATCTCAGGCTCCACCCCAGACTTACTGTATCAGAATCTGCATTGTAAGAAGATTCCCAGGTGACTCACACAAGCACATTAAAATCTGAGTATGTCTGGCCTAGACACTTAAGCTTCTAGGCTAATATCCTGGATCCAAGAAAAGCCACTCTCATCTCATCTGAAGGCTCAGGAAATTTACACACCTCCAAAAAATGTGGCAAAGAGCTATTGTGGACCCAAGGACTTTTGGGAGAACAGAGCTCCCCAAAGCAGCGTGCAAAGGATAGGCTGCAGGATCGATAACCGTGGAGGCAACCTTTCCCGGGCCTATTCCCGGCGGTGCTTCCTGTTCTCAGACCTTCTGATTCCGAAGTGGCTTCTGACAGCCACTTTCCAGCGATCGATCGGTTGTGGTAGAATGTTGCCATTTCTACAACAAATGGGAGTGGCTTGGGGAATTGCATTCTATATGAACCCAACAGCTCCCTGGCACCAGGGAGCCACAGGCCCGACATGCTTCTCTGTGAAGACCCACTGACATGGGGAATGCCTTCGATGGACTCAGCTCTGGGTGGATGCCTCACGGATACCAGGGGAGGCTGCATTCTTTGTGCCAAGAGCCCCTGAGCACCCTGCCCTCCAACTGTAAAGGCAGCCCCTGACTTGGAAACAATCCCTATAGGTGGCTGCAGCTGTCATGACCTGGCCCCAACCCTTCGCCACCTGTATCCCAGTTGCTGCTGTCATAGACACTGATGGGGTGAGAGTGAGGGGTGCTGGCGGGGAAGGAGATGACAACAAAAATATTGGGGCCTTTAGGGAATTTAGGCCTCTAGGAGGAAATAAACAGTGGAAGTTATGAGAAAATGGAAAAGTTTAGGGGAGCCAACTTTGAAAAGATGCCTCTTGTTGCAATATTCCTTTACCACTTTTTTTATTATGCTGTCTAAAATATGACAAATTAAAGAGCTCTTATAAACCCAGAGCCATTTGTAAAATGCAATCACCTCTATCCCTCCACCCCTACACCCCAAGGTGACAGCCACCATTCAAAAATCATTGTGGGCCAGGTGTGGTGGCTCACACCTGTAATCCCAGCACTTTTGGAGGCTGAGGCAGGAGGATCACTTGAGGTCAGGAGTTTGAGACTAGCCTTGGGCAACACACTGAGACAACCCCCTCAACAACAACAAAAAAATTAAAAAAATTAGCTGAGCATTGTGTAGTTCTTTCTACACAACCACATCTGTAGTTCTTTCTAACCCCTTGGGGGGCTGAGGCAGGAGGATTGCTTGAGCCCAGGAATTCAAGGCTGCAGTGAGCTGTGATCGGGCCACTGCACTCCAGCCTGGGGGACAGAGTGAGACCCGGTCTTTACAAACAACAAGCAAAACAACAATACGAATTAACTCAAATGGTCTATCCTAATTATCAGCAACTATAACTACATACAAAAAGGGAGGAGTTTTGAGAGGGGAGAGAGAACCTTGCAGAATTTGAGGGGAGGTGTCAGGAAAGTCTAGGTTAGGGCTTAATTGTAAAGTAGCAAGACAGGCCCAGAGAACCCGGGGAGCTGAGGCGAAAGTTAAATAAAATTCCAAAGTGATAATAAATTCCAAAGTTTTGCTTAAAGTTCAGTCTTAACTCTTTTTTCCTCTCTTTTCCTGCATGGCCCCAGAATTCCAGCTGAATTCTTAGGCTGAGACTAGGAGAGTGAGATATCCCAGAGGGAAGTAGAAGACCATGAGTAATGGAAGGAGCAGGTAGGGAGGCTACAGGGTGGCGTGGCAGGGATCGGGCAGAAGGTGGTCTGAGTGCCACCCCCATGCTGCAGGGCAGCCAGCCATGCTCACACAGGCCCTGGAAGATTCTCCTCTAGGCCCCAAGGGCCAGGAGCTCAGGGCCCTTGTCTGTTTTGTTCACTCTTATATTCCAAACTCTTAGCATCCTGCCCGTCAAACAACAGGATCCCAGTGAATACTTGCTGAATAACAGAGCAGCTGAGAGCACTTAGGAGAAGCTGCCCTTTGAACTTGAGGCAGGAAGAGAACAGAACTAAGAGGCAGTAGACGTTCACTCCACCAAGTAACGTGGGGTGGACTTCACAGAGCAAAGCAGGGCCTTCACCTAGAAACTCGCTGCCTCCTCAGCTACCTTTTCCTTTCTCTTCCTGACCAGGGCTGGTCTGCCCACCACTCCCACCTTGGGATCCCCTCAGCATCAGCTATTCCCCCTCCTGCATTCTGACCCCTCTCTCCATTGCATCTCTGCCCATAGTGCAAAACCATGCTCACAACACCGTGTATTTAAAATCAAACAAAAAGAACCAAACCAAATAAATAATATTCTCCTAATCCAAAAATCCACCTTCAGGGCCTGTCCTCTTTTCTTTTCTGCTAAACCAAGGCTTATAGATTCATAATAATCTACTTTCAGGATCTCTGCTTCCTCACCTCCTGTCGAGCCCTCAAACACTGGTAAATTTATTTCTTGCCCCCCCTTCTACCCAGACTCTGTCACTGGAGTCACCAAATGGCCCCTCTGTTGCTGTATCCACTGGGCATGTCATCATTCTGATCTCCCGGGTGGCGCCTGACTATGCCCCAACCCTGGCTTCCGGGATTCTGCTTCTCTTGGTTTCCGTCCCAACTCCCAGAACATCTCCTCTCAGACGTCTCCCCACCTTCTTTTGGTGCTGGGGACTAGGATGCTGTTTCGCCGCTCTTTCCCCCTGGGTGATCTCATTTCCTAACACCTTAGCTTCCAGGGTAGGTTAGATCCCTTTTCTGCGCTAGGTATTACCGTAGCCTGGTCCTCCTCCTGATCCATTGTGTAACTGATTACTAGTCTGTCCCCCAAGCTAGCCTGTAAGCTCCTAAGGCAAGAACCAAGTCTGTCTTGATCAACACCGTAGCGTTACTACTAGACACAGTGCCAGGCTATTGTAGGCGGGACCAGCTACATAATTTCAGGGTCCAGTGCAAAATAAAAAAAAACAAACCACACGGCACCTTGTTTAAAAATGGAGAATTTCAAGATGGCAACGGCAGAGCATCACACCAAATGTGGGGCCCTTCCTAGAGTGGGATCCTGGGGCTGCAGAGGTCACATGCACACGAAGCCGGCAGGTGTATGCCCTTAATATTTACTGAACGGATTAACAGCTTCAACAAGTACTTACACTGACGATTCCAGACAACCTTTCCAGCCCACACATCTCTGTTTTGTACCAGCCTGGAACAGCTAACTGCCAACAGATATATCCACGTGGATATTCACTGGCATCTCATACTTAGTAAGGTTCAACATGAATGATCCTGTCCCCACCCCATCCCCAAATCTGCCTGTCTTCCAGCATTCCCTATCTCCGAAATGACACTATTTTCTACCCAGCTGCTCATCCAGGAAGCCAGACACTCCAGGTGTCTCACTTTTCTCACCCCACACACCCAGACAGGCACCCGGTCCTGTAGATTTTCCCTCCTCAGGAGCACGTGAATCTCTTTCCTTCCTTGATTCTGCCCCCTGCCCCTGCCTTTTCTGGTTTCCACTGGAGCTCGTCTGCATAAGGAGTTCTCTGCTGTGCCCCATACTCCGCAGGGTCACATACTCTGCCCTGCCCCACACTCCACAGGGTCACAAAGGTGACCTTAAGGCACCACTCTCTTCACACCACACCCCTACCCAAACCCTCCATGGTGTCCTGGCACTTCCTATTTCCTTCATGATCAGGTTCTCGCCTGTACTTCTGGCTCAGCCTCACTCGTGCTATGTCCACTCCTCCCTTCTGAGGGCCAGCCTACCCGAGTCAGCTCTTCCTTCTGGCCTTCCTCCCACACTCCTCCTCTGTGCCCCTGGGGTGGCATCTGCCCACCACCCCGTGGCCCTTTCCAGTCCTCTCTGTGACTGTTGGCTTCCATGGCTGTCTCAAACCACCTCGAGGACATTTTACAAGCAGAGTCTAAGTTGTCGTCTCTGAGTCTCTGACACTCAGCGCCTGGCATGTGGCAGACACACAACAACTGTTTGCTGATGGATAAGTGACTAAATGAATGGAGAATGAGCCGGACATGGGCGAATGAACAGAAGGATCTGGAAGCGAGGGCCTTAATTAAGACTTTTCTGAGTAACAACATTACTAACTGTATATAGTCTGAGCCCTCAAAAATCCATCTGCCTTTTTGTTGGTTTCGCAAAAAGAGAGCAAGCCTCAGAGGATGCTGTTCTGGCCAAGCCGCCACTGCAAAGGGACTTGGGAGACAAGGAGACACAAAGCAGGGCCCTCTCCTTAGCGGGCAGCAAAGGCCACCACTGCCAAATTTGCACACGATGTCACTGCCACTGCCAGGGTGACCCTAGCTTATTACTTTCTTAGATAGATAATTATATCCAAATCCATCTATGTACAGAACATTCT